CGTAGAACCATGATTCCAAAATTACTTTGCAGCATCGGTCTGGGGGCGTTGCTCTCCGAAGCTGCACTTGCTGCCAAGTATGGTTTTCATTTGTGTCTTGATTGAGATAAAACCTCTATTCTCATCTTGCCAATGTAGGTACGTTTCCTGGAGCAGCAAAACAAGATGCTGGAGACCAAATGGAGCCTCCTTCAGAACCAGACGGCCACACGCTCCAACATCGACGCCATGTTCGAGGCCTACATCTCCAATCTGCGCAGACAGCTCGACAGCCTTGGCAATGACAAAATGAAGCTGGAGGCTGACCTGCACAACATGCAAGGCCTTGTTGAGGACTTCAAAAACAAGTATGTACAATGGCTTTCACAAAAGCCTCATTTTAATTTGGCTGGACGTTTGGTCTAGGGGATGGACAGCATCCAAGTATTGTCAAAGAAGGCTTTTGTGGTGCACTTAAGTTTTCCCAGAATAAATGAGGCTCTATAAATTCAAATGGAGAGAAAACATGCTTTAAAGTTTTCTGATGGGAATAAACTCAATTAATTATCCAACAAGGCATATGTAACTGATACAGAAAGTACATGGTTGCTCTAGTCTCTCCCTGGTATACCTGCCACCTGGACAATGGTCCAGCCTTTTTGAGATTTGAATCATATTATAGGCATTTCAGGCATGATTATAGGCATTATATACATAATATCCCATTGAAAAAAAAACATGTCTGTGCCTCAATTAAATGGGCATCAGCATGAGTCAGATCGATTACAGCTATTTAACAAACATCTACGCAGCACCTTTCATGGATCTCTAAACAAATCTGATGGGACGATTAATGTTAAAACCCATGGGACACAATGAACTGAATCCAGAAAAAGAACAAGCGTTTCTTACTAAAGATGGAGCATTGCTGCCCCCTAGTGTACAAAACCCATTTATAAACAATTCAAAACATTCCTGATTTTAACCAAAGTAATTTTTTTCACTTCTCTTCAGGTATGAGGATGAGATCAACAAGCGCACAGAGTGTGAGAACGAGTTTGTGCTCATCAAGAAGGTTCGTAGATTGTCTCTTACATAATTCAAAACAAAATAACTACTCACAAATGCTTACTTTAATCTTAAATGATGATTAAATTATGTTTGCTTTTTGTAGGATGTCGATGAGGCCTACATGAATAAGGTTGAGCTGGAGGCCAAATTGGAAAGCCTCACTGACGAGATCAACTTCCTCAGGCAGATCTTTGAGGAGGTAAATTACAGCTAGAGATTCCCACTACACATATAGTTCACTTACATATGACAAAACACACTTTGATAATGTTGTGCTCTCGCATTGTGAACTTGTAGGAGATCCGTGAGCTGCAGTCTCAGATCAAGGACACCTCAGTCGTTGTGGAGATGGACAACAGCAGGAATCTCGACATGGATGCCATCGTCGCTGAGGTCCGCGCTCAGTACGAAGAGATCGCTAACCGAAGCCGGGCTGAGGCTGAGATGTGGTACAAGTCCAAGGTGTGTTATCTTTTGAGTATCATCCAAACTGTAAAGTCTTAATATGGTTGTTCAAAGCAAATGTTACTATTGAGGTGCATGAGATATTAAATCTTACACATCGTATGTTCTGTTCCTCAGTTCGAGGAGATCCAGACATCCGCAAGCAAATATGGTGATGACCTTAGATCAACAAAGACAGAGATTGCTGATCTTAACCGCATGATTCAGAGACTGCAGTCCGAGATCGATTCCGTGAAAGGACAGGTATGCAACTACACAAACAAAAAATTTAGAATATTTGAATATTAAGTTTGTTTTGTAGGCAACAGACATTAGGAGCGAAACTGAGCACAAATATTTCTTGTTTCGATAGCGCGCCAATCTGGAGAACCAGATCGCAGAGGCAGAGGAACG